AAATAGTTCCAGAGCATAAGGGAGTTGGTTGCCAAAGTTGCTTGCTTGTAGGAGGCAGCCCTACCCTATCCCCTGTGGCTGGAGCCTCACTCCTCTGCCTCTCCAGGCCCTTAGCCCACCCTTTCCCCTAGCCAGGTCCCCAGAGCCAGGTCCCCACTATCTCCAGCCAAGAGTGGATGGAAGCCAACTGAGGGACCTTGACAGAGAGGCAGGAAGCAGGCAGCAGTGGCTGGAGTCCTTCCCGAAAGCCAGGCTCACTCCCCACTCTGGCTCGAAACAGCCACAGCTCAAACTCTCAGGAGGGTAGGAGGGTGTTTGGCCCAGAAACCTAGAGGTAGCCAGCTCTGCAGCCAGAAAAAAGTTGGCAGGCCTGAAGGCCAAGACCTGAGCTATAGGGATCCCTCCCCGGTACATATACACTCAACCAGCCCAATTCCTGCTCCAGGGAGTTAGGAAGAGGCCATAGGAGAGGAGGCCTGAATGAAAAGCCTTAAGGACACAGGGATGCTTTTGAATGTGTTTATTTTTATCAACCTAGAATATACAAATTAAAATGAAGTGGAATGATTCAAAACTACAGACAACACCCAACACCAGCCACCTGCACTCCCCCCACCCACCACCCTCCACCACCCCCCTCACCCCCACTGAGGTGCCAAGAGAGATCCAGCTGCCCTAGGTAGAACATGCTATGAAATGAAACCCTCATGACAGTGGGCGGTGGAGCATCTCCTCAGAGCACCATGGCTGGATATCGTGATACCAGCCCTCAAGCACCCTTAGCAGTGGCCACAGTGGCACACAGGGCAAGGTGTGAACCCAGGGTGGATGCTCCTGAGGGAACACTACTCCCTACACCTGGTGATGAGCCCAGCTCAGGCCTCTCCTGTCCAGTCCTTCAGTGGCCTGGGGTGTGGTGACACCACCTGTGAGGGAAGGGTACCTCTCTCACGGGCAGGTGGGGCACAGAGATCATTCATGCAGACGGAAATGCCCTAGCCAGCTGCAAACCCGAGTCAGATGCACCCAGGCTGTTCCGCCGGTTCCCTAACTGGGCCAAAGCGGCCGAATAGGAGGGAGCCTCACTTTATCCTAGAGGTGCCTCAGACTCACAACCTAGAGGCCTGTAGGCAGTCCATTCCTTCCCATCAGACAGGTCCTGACCGGCTGAAGATGTGACTTTGCTCAGGGCCTTCTAAGGATTCACATTAACTCCCCCAGACCTTTTGCATGGGTGTGTCCCGCCTCAGAGCGAGCCTGAGGCCACAAGAGGGACACTTGGACCCAAAGTGTCAGCCACCAACTCCACATCAGGGCTGGGCCTGTCTCTACCACTGTCCACACACTCCCTGCTGCCCCCCCCCACGTCGGGCCCTGGAGTCCTCGGTTCACCCAGCGCGCACTGAAGGGATCCCTGCTCCACCCTGGTGACTGGAAGGCTCCAGCCGTAAAATTCCCAGCGAAGACTAAGAGCCACCGCCCCAGCCACTGCTCCCTGGAACCCCAGGGCCGGGGCGCGCCTCAACCCTAGGCCTGGCGGCTCTCACGGGGTATTCCGTGGGTTTCGAGGATGGATCTGGAGCGAAGGAAGGTGACCAAGGCGCCTCTCCGCACATGTCAGCAGCGTGGGCGACTCGGCGCGTCCCCAAGCTCGGGTGCGCATGGATCTCGGCCTCATGTGCATCCCGGGTCGCCGCTGCGCACCCCGGCCAGGCCGCGCGGGTGGATCCGGCTCAGCGACCCTAGCGCGGGTCCGCGTGGCAGGCTCCCCCGTGTGCGCCCCCCGAGCTGACCTTGGCCGCGCGTGGGCCGCCCCGTTGCTGTGGTCGCCGCCGCCGGGCGTGCCGGGTCTAGTGGTCCTAAACATTTCACAATTGCGCTACAGAACTGTTGAACTGTTAAGAACCACTGGACCCGGCGCGCGAGTCCGCGACCGCTGGCTCCGACGCGCCGCGCAGACGGAAACCCGTGCGTGGCCGGCTGCACTCCGTGCGCCGACGGCCGGCGTGGTTGCGCCTTTTATGCGGCGCGGCCGCCCGGCTCGGCGCCCGAACGCGCTCGCCGCGCTGGCCCGACCGGTTTTTCCGGGCCGGGCGGCT